ATGGGGTTAAACAATAATCCAGTTTCATTCTCTTGTATGTAGCTGTCCAGTTTTGCAACACCAGTTGTTGAAGAGGCCATCATTACCCCATTGTATGTCCATGGCTGCTTTATCATATATCAATTGACCATATATGGTTGGTTTTATATCAGGGCTCTCTAGTTTGTTCCATTGGTCTATGGGTCTCTTCTTGTGCCACTACCAAATTGTCTTGATTGCTGTGGCTTTGTAGTAGAGCTTGAGGTTGGGGAGCGTAATCCCCCCAGCTTATTCTTCCTACTCAGAATTGCTTTGGTTATTCGAGGTCTTTTGTGATTCCATATGAATTTTAGGACCATTTTCTCTAGTTCATTGACGTATGCTGTTGGTATTTTGATAAGAATTGCATTGAATCTATAGATTGCTTTAGGCAGGATAGCCGTTTTGACAATATTAATTCTTCCTATCCATTAGCACAGGATGTGTTTCCATTTATTGGTATCTTCTTTAATTTCTCTCATGAGTGTCTTGTAGTTTTCATAGTATAGGTCTTTCACTTCCTTGGTTAGGTTTATTCCTAGGTATTTTATTCTTTTTGATGCAACTGTGAATGGAATTGTTTTCCTGATTTCTCTCTCTGCTAGTTCATTGTTAGTGTATAGGAATGCCACAGATTTCTGTGTATTAATTTTGTATCCTGCAACTTGGCTGAATTCAGATATTAGATGTAGTAGTTTTGGAGTGGATTCTTTAGGGTTTTTATGTACATCATGTCATCTGCAAACAGGGACAGTTTAACTTCTTCCTTGCCAATCTGGATGCCTTTTATTTCTTTGTGTTGTCTGATTGCTGTGGCTAGGACCTCCAGTACTATGTTGAATAGAAGTGGGGAAAGTGGGCATCCCTGTCTTGTTCCTGATCTTAAAGGAAAAGCTTTCAGCTTCTCACTATTAAGTATAATATATGACCTTTATTATATTGAGGTACTTGCCTTCTATACCCATTTTGTTGAGAGTTTTTATCATAAATGGATGTTGAATTATGTCCAATGCTTTTTCAGCATCTGTGGAGATGATCATGTGGTTTTTGTTGATGGATTTTCAAATGTTGTACCATCCTTGCATCCCTGGAATAAATCGTACTTGATCATGATGAATGATCTTTTTGATGTATTTTTGAATTTGGTTTGCTAATATTTTGTTGAGTATTTTTGCATCTATGTTCATCAGGGATATTGGTCTGTAATTTTCTTTTTTTGTGGTGTCTTTGCCTGGTTTTGTTATTAGACTGATGCTGGCCTCATAGAATGAGTTTGGAAGTTTTTCCTCTTCTACTCTTTGGAGAACTTCAAGGAGGATGGGTGTTAGATCTTCACTAAATGTTTGATAAAATTCAGCGGTGAAGCCATCTGGTCCAGAGGTTTTGTTCTTAGGTAGGTTTTTGATTACCAGTTCAATTTCATTGCTGGTAATTGGCCTGTTCAGATTTTCTGTTTCTTCCTTGGTCAGCCTTGGAAGGTTGTATTTTTCTAGAAAGTTGTCCATTTCTTCTAGGTTATCCAGTTTGTTAGTGTATAATTTTTCATAGTATTCTCTAATAATTCTTTGTATTTCTGTGGTGTCCATTGTGATTTTTTCCTTTCTCATTTCTGATTCTGTTTATGTGTGTCGACTCTCTTTTCTCTTGATAAGTCTGGCTGGGGATTTATCTATTTTCTCGAAGAACCAGCTCTTGCTTTCATTGATTCTTTCTATTGTCTTATTCTTCTCAATTTTGTTTATTTCTGCTCTTATCTTTATTATGTTCCTCCTACTAACTTTGGACCTCATTTGTTGTTCTTTTTCTAGTTTCATTAATTGTGAGTTTAGATTGCTTATATGGGGTTGTTCTTCTTTCCTGAGGTAGGCCTGTATTGCGATATACTTTCCTCTTAGCATGGCCTTGCCTGCATCCCACAGATTTTGTGGTGTTGAATTAATGTTGTCATTTGTCTCCATATATTGCTTGATCTCTGTTTTTATTTCGTCATTGATCCATTGGTTATTTAGGAGCATGTTGTGAAGCCTCTATGTGTTTGTCAGATTTTTCATTTTCTTTGTATAATTTATTTCTAGTTTCATACCTTTGTGGTCTGAGAAACTGGTTGGTACAATGTCAGTCTTTTTGAATTTACTGAGGCTCTTTTTGTGGCCTACTATGTGATCTATTCTTGAAAATGTTTCATGTGCACTTGAGAAGAATGTGTATTCTGCTGCTTTTGGGTGTAGAGTTGTATAGATGTCTGTTAGGTCCATCTGTTCTAATGTGTTGTTTAGTGCCTCTGTGTCCTTACTTATTTTCTGTCTGGTTGATCTGTCCTTCACAGTGAGTGGTGTGTTGAAGTCTCTTAGAATGAATGCATTACATTCTGTTTCCCCTTTTCATTCAGTTAGTATTTGCTTCACATATGTAGGTGCTCCTGTGTTGGGAGCATAGATATGTATAATGGTTATATCTTCTTGTTGGATTGACCCCTTTATCATTATGTAATGTCCTTCTTTGTCCCTTGTGACTTTCTTTGTTTTGAAGTCTATTTTGTCTGATACAAGTACTGCAACTCCTGCTTTTTTTATTAGTTGCATGAAATATCTTTTTCCATCCCTTCACTCTTAGTTTGTGTATGTCTTTGGATTTAAAGTGAGTCTCTTGTAGGCAGCATATAGATGGGTCTTGTTTTTTTATCCATTCAGTGACTGTGTCTTTTGATTGGTGCATTCACTCCATTTACATTTAGGGTGATCATCGATAGGTATGTACCTACTGCCATTGCATACTTTAGACTCATGGTTACCAAAGGTTCAAGGGTAACTTCCTTACTATCTAAGAGTCTAACTTAACTCACTTAATATGCTACTACAAACACAGTCTAAAGGTTCTTTTCTTTTTCTCCTCCTTTTTATTCCTCCTCCATTCTCTGTATATTAGGTATCATATTCTGTACTCTTTGTCTATCCCTTGATTAACTTTGGAGATAGTTAATTTAATTTTGCATTTGCTTAGTAATTAGCTGTTTTACTTTCATTACTGTGGTTTTTTAACCTCAGGTGACAGCTGTTAATCCTTAGGAACACTTCCATCTATAACAGTCCCTCCAAAATAGACTGTAGAGATGGTTTGTGGGAGGTAAAATCTCTCCGCTTTTGCTTATCTGGAAATTGTTTAATCCCTCCTTCAAATTTAAATGATAATCTTGCTGGATAAAGTAATCTTGGTTCCAGGCCCTTCTGCTTCATTGCATTAAATACATCATGCCACTCCCTTCTGGCCTGTAAGGTTTCTGCTGAGAAGTCTGATGTTAGGCTGATGGGCTTTCCTTTGTATGTGATCTTATTTCTCTCTCTGGCTGCTTTTAATAGTCTGTCCTTATCCTTGATCTTTGCCATTTTAATTACTATATTTCTTTGTGTTGTCTTCCCTGGGTCCCTTGTGTTGGGAGGTCTGTGGATCTCCATGGCCTGAGAGTCTATCTCCTTCCCCAGATTGGGGAAGTTTTCAGCAATTACCTCCTCAAAGACACTGTCTATCCCTTTCTCTCTTCTTCTTCTGGTACCCTTATAATGCGAATATTGTTCCATTTGGATTGGTCACACAGTTCTCTCAATATTCTTTCATTCTTAGAGATCCTTTTTTCTCTCTGTACCTCAGCTTCTTTGTATTCCTCTTCTCTAGTTTCTGTTTCATTTATCGTCTCCTCCACCGTATCCAGTGTGCTTTTAATACCCTCCATTGTGCTCTTCAATGATTGGATCTCCAACTGGAATTCATTCCTGAGTTCTTGAATATCTTTCCGTACCTAGGCTGCCCAGCCTATCACGGAGGGGGTCCTGGGAGCTGTGTAGCCAGCCAGGGAGCTGGAGCATCTGGAAATCATGAAAGCTTGCAAACTGCTGGGCAGAGTGCACCAGACAATTTGTCTACCTGTCCTTTCTCCTGAGCAGTAAGCTCTGTGCAATCCTTGCCCCTTTAGCAGCCCTCTTGCTAAAGGCTTCCTTGTTAGGAAGTCTCTCAGTCTGCCCGCCTTTCTTTTGTCCCAGAGCAACCGGATATGGATCCCTGCTTTCCCCAAGCAGCTGGAAACTCAGTCCCTCCAGGAATTCTGCCTGTCTTAGCTTTCCAATCCCCTAATCATGAGAGTATCATGCAATCACCATGAAATGTAGGTTTGTGCTCCCAGAGCAGATCTCTGGAGTTAGGTATGCAGCAGTTCCAGGCCTCCACTCCTTCCCTGCTCCGTTTCTCTTCCTCCAACCGGTGAGCTGGGGTGGGGGAAGGGCTCGGGTCCCGCCAGGCCACAGCTTTGGTACGTTACCCTGTTCCATGAGGTCTGCTCTTCTCTCCAGGTGTATGCAGTCCGGCGCAATCCTCTTTCCTGTTGCTCTTTTAGAATTAGTTATATTAATTATATTTTCATATTATATGCGGTTTTAGAGGGAAGCCTCTGTCTCACCTCTCACGCCGCCATCTTTAATCCTTCTAATCTTTGGTTTTTAATACGTTTTAGTTTTCGTTTCTGGAAATTGCTCTATTTTGTTCTTTTTCAGCCCTACTTGGTTATTTTTTATAGCTTCTGGTCAACTACTCACACTTTTAATCTTGTTAAAGTTCTTCTGTTTCTTTAAACATATTAAACATAGTCACTTTATATTCTGTCTGTTAATTCCAATATTTGACTGTTGTTTCTACTGTTTCTTGCTTACAGTACCTTGTATTCTTTTGTGCTTAGTGATTTTTTGACCGACCTACCCATTTTTCTTGGGAATTTATTTGTGGGGCTATTTTATGCCCTGGGCTACAGATCGGATATGGACTACATGTGGTATAGTATTTTGTATCCTTTTTTCTGGTTTGTTTTTAACAGACAGTATTACACTATGCCTGTTTATCTGTAACTTAGTTTTTTCACCAAAATGCAACAATGCAATACTGCTGTCATTGAAGTGGCTGTAATGACTCACCTTTGCCTTGTTCTCTGGGAACTGTAGGTGTATCCTGAGTTTGAAGATCAGAGAGCTTGCCTGCCATCAGGATCTTTTCTGACTTGTTCCTCAGACAACACCATCCGCTTCTGGAACATGGATAGCAGCCATGACTCTCCCTGGCAGAAAAACATCTTCAGTAATGTGAGTGGCTTCATTGTGAACTGTCTTTTAAGAGAAACAAGCCCTTCTTTAAGCTAGGATATTGGTGCAGGAGGTAATCTTATGGTATTAGGCTTCACTGAGGGTAGGAACTAGGAACAGGTAGTTCTAAGTTCTAAGGCAGGTAATTCTCTGTCACCCTCTCTCTTATTTCTCTCTCCCTCTCTTTCTGAGCAACATGGTCCGTCCTCTGCCTCACCTTGCCGATCAGCTCTTGCTCTCTGGGTGTGTGTTGACACATGATCCAGGGAACGCAACATACTCACTAGAAATGAAATTGCTGCCCAAGTTGTGAGTTGGAACTGGCTTGGAGAACACCTGATGGACCCCCCCAGTCAGGGGCTTCCCTGCCTAGCTAGCTGCCATGTAGTGAGGCCTTGGAGGAGTGCTGGCAGGACCCCAAAGAGACCATGATGGGAGGCTGGGGAGAAAACACTTTGCTGAAGAAATGGTTGGTATTGCTAGGTCAGTGAGGGAACGTCTTTTCAAAGCTGAGCCATGACCACAATCATGCATTCATTTATTCTATAATTACTAAGGTCTATGCAATGTGCTGTCCTGCATGCTGGGGACACACTGGTGACTAAGTCAGGCCCTTTTCCTGCCCTATAGCACCCACAGTCTAGTTGGGTAGGCAGACAGTGACCCAGTAACTGCACAAATTGTGATATAATCACAAACATGATAAGCACCATGAAAGAATATTGCTAGTAGGATATATAACAGTCATCTGATCTTATCTGTGGTGTCAGGGGCAGCATCCTGGAGGAATAAACAACTGAGTGAGATAAAGAGAACTGAAAGAAGTAAATAGGGGAGGAGAGAGTATTCTGCACTAAGGGAATGCACAAAGGCCCTGAGGTGGAATAAAGCTTAGTGAGTTGGAAAACCTAAGGGGTCAGTGTGGCTGGAACAAAAGAGGCCCTTAATGCAAGGTGTGTGTAGCAGATGCTCCTTACCACTACCCTTACTCCCCAACCCAGTGCCATCACCTTCTCTTCTTCACCTATACATATAAATATAATATACATATTATATTTAGCTACATACAATAGAAAAACCCAAAACAAGAGGTAAAAGTTTGGTTTTCTGACTCATAAAAATAGTGTGAAGGTAACCAGTCTTGGCTATTTTGGCAGCTGCAGGGAGCCCTTAAAGACCAGCAGCCTTCCAGCTCTCCACTCTGCCATTTTTAAGGAGTGGCCTTTGTCTTCATAATCCAAATGGTTGCTGGAGCTCCAATCATCACATCCAAGCTCCAGGCAGCAGAACAAAGAAGAGGAAGCAGAAGGGTTCTCACTTGTTTTACATCTCATTGACCAGAATTTATTCACAGTCTCATCTAGCTGCAAGGGAGTTTGGGAAACATAGTTATTATTCTGAGTGGTAAACCTCCCAGGTCAAAATTGGAGTTCTGTTACTACTGGAGAATGGGAGACTGCCTAGCAGGAGACGCAGAATTGCAGAGGTGCTTCAGAGCTTCCCACAGCACTGACCTCAGCCCTCCCCTCTCCTTCCTGCAGACCCTGCTGAAGGTAGTGTATGTAGAGAACGACATCCAGCACCTACAGGACGTGTCACACTTCCCAGACCGTGGGAGTGAGAATGGAACACCTATGGATATGAAAGCCGGGGTGCGAGTCATGCAGGTCAGTCCTGATGGCCAACATTTGGCTTCAGGTGACCGAAGTGGAAATCTGAGGCAAGTGGGCCTTTGTGGGTGTGTAGCATACACCTCCCAGCTCGGGCTTGTGTACATGGGCAGGGGGAGGAGCCCTGGCCTTCACACCGCCAGCCCCTACTGGGAATGAGGAACTGAATGTCAATCCTGTAAGCAGCCATCACTGGGAACTTAAGCCAAAAAGGGTCTTTCAGAGGGCTGAGATCAAGGTAGCTACCAGGACTCAGCAACTGGGGCATGTGAACTTTGCCTACAGAGCGGACAGGCAAACTTGTATGGCTCTAGGGCAGGGTAACCCTCTCACCAGCCATGTGGGACCACTGCTGAGCCATCAGAGAAAATACCAGCTGGAGCTTGGGGTGTCTTGATGGTTCTCCTGAGGGCCAAGGCAAGAGGGACATTTGAGGGCTCAGCCTATTTACCTGAGCAGAGGTTTTTCAAGATGTTACTTGCCCGTTAAGTGCTGACAAAACATGAGCCCTGTCACAGGGACCAGGGTTAAGTTGACAAATGACAGCTGACCCTTGGGTGCTGGAGCAATTCATTGAGGGATGGAAGGACTGAGGAGAACTGGAGAATGTGTACCCGTAAAGGGGCAGCTACCACACAGCACCAGGCATGCAGGCTCCAAGTCGTCATGTTCCCATTGTCCAAGAGGAACACAAAGTGAAGTGGGGGGGAGGGGGTGTGTGCGTGTGTGTGTGCGTGTGTGTGTGTGTTTGTGAAATCATATGATTTTTAAATGCTGGCAACTGTTTTGATATCAATCATTGCATGAGGCAAACCGAATGTGCCCGTGGGCTGCACACATTGACAGCGCTTTGCTGTGGATGGCAAAAATAGTAACAAGCTAATTGGGTATAGTGCTCTTCTTCCAGGCCGGCCACTGGCCTGATATTGTGTCAACTGACTTGATCCTCTCCTTGACACCTGAAATAAGTGCTGTTATTAGCTCCATCTTCAGATGGGTTAACTGAGGCAAGAGAGGCCAAGTGGCTAAGCTGAGATCACACGGATGGAGAGAGAATGCAGAAGCTGAAATGACTGTGTCTTATTGAATCCTGGATAGCCTGTTGATTGTTGGATTTCATTTGGAAAGAATGAGGAAAGTCTAGATTTTAGACTCAGAATGAGGGATTGGAATCAAGTATTCTCACCCATAGGTCCTATCCCTGAGTATGATCTCCCAGGCCTGGCCCCTGCTCCACCCCCAGAGGCCTCTGTACAGCCCTGCCCTAACCTCTGTTCCCCAGAGGACTGTCCTCCGTCTGGCTCATGAAGCCACAAGGGGCTGGGCACCACTGAGCTGCTCCCAGGTTTGGCACTGCTTCCTTTAAGATGGCAGGTTTCTAGATGAGAAGAGTGGTTGGGCATCTCTAGACTAGTTGACCAGAGTAGGGGGTTCTCTGTGTCACCTACCTGGCTGCTCTGTCCTTTTCTAGCAGTGGCAGAGCATCTGGGCAGAGGCGGTGGGGGGTGCTCTGGACAGGGTACAGCAAGAAGCATATGTCTCGCAGGATCCACGAGCTGCACTTCATGGACGAACTGGTCAAGGTAGAGGCCCATGATGCTGAGGTGCTGTGCCTGGAGTACTCCAAACCTGAGACAGGTGAGCCCCTGCAGGGCGGCCGGGGGAAGGGCAGGGGAGTAGCCTCCACTGGCCGAGCTACAGAGATAGATAGTTGGTATCTGGTGGGACTGTGAATGACAGCTGGAAGTCCAAGTCCTGTGTTTAGTAAGGGCTCCTGTTGCTGGGCCCTGGCACCGGGGTGGCTGGAACTCCAGAAGGTAAGACACCTGCTGGCAGGACTCAGCTTGACTTGCTTACCTTGGTCCCCAGCACCCCGAACAGTGCTCAGGCTAGAGGTAAATGTTGAATGAGTGAGGTAAGTTGCAGGCATGATGCCCTTTCATCCAGAAATACCCCTGCGAGCATTTCCTAGGAAGGAGGATAGCCATTTACATGACCATAGTGCACTTACCAAGCATGGGGATTTTACTTTGATACCATATTGTCACCTCTCTTGTCCTTATGGTCCAATATGGCACTGTTGTTTTTCCAGTCCAGATTCATGCTTTATTTGCCATGGCTCTCTTGTCACCTTCATTCTGGAATATTTCCACATCTTTGTCTTTATGACTTTGGCTTCGTGCAGAATATAGACCAGTCATTTTACAGGATTTCCTTCAATTTAGGTTTGTTGGTGTGTTTTCCTCATGCTTTGATTCTGATGGTACATGTTTGGCAGGAATAGGATGTAGGTGGAGTGACGTCCCGATATGTTAATGATCTCCCATGCTCTTCTTTCCATCTTCCCTTCCCTGTGCCCTTTGCCCTGACAAATTTTTAAAAACTCTTTTCATTCAGTACACCTTACCTGAGCTCCCCTTCTCCTCAGGTTGTATGTTAGGCCTCAGACATACGAGGTGACAGGAGCAGGCACTGTTTGAGGGGCCAGCAGGGAAGGCCCAGTGGCAGCAAGTGGTAGCAGGGCTTGGATGAGGCCTGTGTAGCCAGAACTTAGTGAGTGAAGGGACAGTGTTTTTGGGAGGCTGAGAAGTTGGCAGGATTTCACATGGCATACCACAGAGGTGGGCTTGGCAGGAAGCAGTGCTGGGCTTTGCTAGCACGTCGGCTGTGGACACAAGTGTAGGAACGTCTGTGTGTACGAGATTCATCACCCCTCCACTGGAGGCATAGTATGTCAGATGCCAGGTTTGGGGGCTCTGAGGAAAGACAACACAGCTAGAGGAGTGGTCCCTTTCTGGGGTAAGTGGGCTGCAGCTATGGAACCAAAGGCTACTTCTTCAAGGCCTAGAAAGCTTGGTCACACTGCTCTCCAAGGGAAATCAAGGCGTCAAGCAGTCTCTCAGGAACCGAGGGCCATCCTCTCCACTCACAGGGCTCACCTTGCTGGTTTCGGCCAGTCGGGACCGACTGATCCACGTGCTGAACGTGGAGAAGAACTACAACCTGGAGCAGACCCTGGATGACCACTCTTCCTCCATCACATCCATCAAGTTTGCTGGTGAGCCCCCTCCTTCGTGCTTACTGCACCTCATTAGATGGGCTCTTCTGGTCGCAAGTAACAGCGAAAGCTCCCTTTAGCTTAAACAGAAAAGAGATAAACAAACCTTAGATTCAGGCACAGCTAGATCCAAAGACTGATTTTCTCTAAAACTATCAGGACTCTGTCCCTTTACTGGCTGTGCTTTCCTCTTGTGGGTCTTGGTTGTCACTGTGCCAACTGGAAAGAGATTTCCCCTCTTGCTATCAATTTTGGCAGAAATTAGGAGCTGACTTTCCTTGTGCAGGCCTGAGGCACCAGCCCATTCCCGAACAGTCATCAGTGCCAGGACTTAGGGGTGTTCTCTTGGGCCAGGTCTGACTCATGGGTCCTGCCCCCACCTGCCTCCACTCCTGATCCAAGAGGACTGGCATTAGGCACGTACTGGTTTCCAACAGGAAATGAAGGGCCAGTCCTGTGAGAAGTCCTGTGGTGACTTTGGCAGAAAAATAAGTGCCAATGACGATTGCTGGAGGCTAATGCTATGCTGGAGATGACCTTTGCACTGCCCCAGCTATTCCTTTCCTTACATCATTTTACAGCCAGAGTCACACAGTAGGTGCAGTACATGCAGACCTAGGATCTTGCCTAAGGCTGTCCTTCTCCAAAGCCCACACTCAACCAGGAAATCTAAGGGATCCCTCCAACACTGGGAAGATTGAGTATGGAGGTCCCTGGCCCAAAGAGAGTCCAAGGGGAGGGGAGGCAGGCCCTGTGGGGTTTAACTGATTAGAACCCAAGAACATGTTCAAGAAGAATCTATTCGTGGAAAGAATACATTCATATGTCTGTCTAAATTCTTGGCTGTGAAGAGTTTTTTAAACAGAATCTTGTGACTGAGAATGTGTTAATGTCCCTTGGTCCTCCCCGCTTCCTTCCCCTCTCTAGCTAAGCTGGGTAAAAACAGGCTCACAGTGTTGGATGTGTCTTGACGACCTAACAAAAGTCAATCAGCTCAGACTTTTCAGACATCCTTAAAAAATTGTTTAGCCCTCCCATTCCACAGGATAGAAGTAAAATAAATCAGTGAATCTAGTGGTTTGGACGACAGTGACCACACGTTTAATGAATGGTCTAGATCCAAGAGAGGTGATGACTAGGCAGTGGGTGGCCTGGGAGTCAGCCCTTAAGGCCCCCTTCTGATGGGTGTGGGCATTCATTAGTGACCCGAAGCAGTCTGAGAGCATACAGTTCCTAAACTCAGCTCCTGAGGGCCCTGCTCTGCCAGGCTGGCTCACCTGGGTTTTATGCCTAAAATACTGATAAACCCAACTAAAGCTACCCTGCTAAAGCAGGATTCAGTCTTTTAACTGTTTTTGTGAAACATGTATCCAACAAGTGAATGTTTAGTTTACAGAATATACAGTGAACAGCCATGTCAGGTTCAGAGTCGGTAGGTATGAACTAGGACAGACCCACCCACAGTTTATGACCAGCAACTGTTCTGATTGCTTGCAGTCCTAACATTGCTAAATGCTCGGACTCACCTCCCAGGTTAAGCAGCATAATAATACCAGTAACTTGCAAGCCCTCTCTAGGTCCCTCCCAGCCATACTGCTCACTCCCTCTGAGCAGGTAACTCCTGTTTGAGTGACTTCTTAATTTGTGTATCAGGCCCAGGCTCTCTCAAACATCCATTCATGAAAGAACAGATCTGAGTGTTTTATAATTGTTCTGCCTTTTCATCCTCACCACAACTCTGTGAGATATTTGCGCTGTTACTCTTATTCTATAAAGAAGAAGAAAAGCTTACCAGGTGGCAGCCACTGTTCCTAGAGCTTCACGCACAACTCCACAGGGCGAGGGCTGTGATAGGCCCATTGTGCAGACAGAAAGCTGAGGCTCAGAAAGCCTAGGTTCATTCCTGGCCCTGCACTGACTCTGTGCCTGGGACAAGGCCTGTATGACTGAGCTCCTGGATTCACATGTGTACAATGGGCTGGCTAGTGAGCAGTCAGGAGGGAGGCCCATGTGACGGGCCGGGCCTGAGGTATGTGTGGGTGTTCCGAGTGTTCTTCGTGGCATCGAGCCTCCCAGCTGTCTGCCTGTCTCCACTTGCTCCCTGCTTTAGGCCCACCTCCACTCGGCTGCCCAAGTCCCAAATTAGATATGGTGCCCCTTCTGTGTCCCTGTCCTTTGTTTCTTTATCTGCCCTTGCTCTTCAGAGGCCTACCTTGCCACTGCCCCATCTGCACCCCCCCAACACACAACTGAGGGTCCTGCCTGCCCCTAGTACCCACTTTACCTCCTCCAAGAAGTCTTCCCAACAGAGTTCCCTTGCAGTAGAGATGCCTAGCTCAGATCTCCGACCCTAGTCAGGTTCAGCAGTGGCACAGCCCTGCCTAATGCACCACCACCTTCTCCAGGAAATAGAGACATCCAGATGATCAGCTGTGGGGCTGACAAGAGCATCTACTTTCGCAGTGCCCAGCAGGTAGAGTGGAGTGGCCTTGGGGGCTGGGGTGGGGAGCTTATCTGGGGTGTCCTCTGAAGGCCCTGCCTGCCCTTCCAGGCCTCAGATGGAATACACTTTGTCCGTACCCACCACATAGCAGAGAAGACCACCCTGTACGACATGGATATTGACATCACCCAGAAGTATGTGGCTGTGGCCTGCCAGGACCGCAATGTGAGGTGAGGAGCTGCCCTGGTCTTGTTTCTGAGTGGGGCCTATAGGGGATCTAGTTGAATCTGTCTCTTTATGACCTGTCTACCTTTCTTCCCCTGCTCATTTGGTCTTTAGAAGCTGGGTTGGGTGGAGAGACCCAGCAGATATTTCTTAGGAACTAGCCTCACCCATTCCTAACCTCGGTTAGCAGAGGTTCCTTCTGACTGTCTGGAAGCCTGTGTGGGGTGACTGAGAGGTGCTGGTATGACTTACAAACTCCTTTGTTTACCTCCATACCGAGCACCTGTCTGGGATGGACATTGTGGGAGTCACAGCAGTGAACAGGGTTTCCCTAGGTCCTGCATTCACAGAGCTCACAGTCCCATGGAGGAGAGACAGACACCTCACCAGACAATGGCAGCATGGAGTGGTCAGGGCTGGGATGGAGGGCTTGGGGGCTTCTGAGGAGACCCAACCCCACCTGGGATCAAGCAGGGCTTAAAGGAAGGAACATCTGAGCTGAGCCTGGGAAGGTCATGGAGGAGTGAGCCAAGGGAGGGGAAACAGAAAGAGTGCAGAGGGCAGAGCATGTGCAGAGAGGTTCTCCCCACTTCATCTGCTCATTCAAACTGGGTGCCAGGTACTCAGCTTGCTCGGTAGCAGAGGAGACAGACATTAACTCAGTGGACACCCCAACACAGAACCTCCGTCTCCAGCCTGAGACAGTGTCTCATTCTTTGAGATAGGGTTTCAGTCCAGGCATCAGATGTGGGGAATAAGAGGTGGCAGGATACTTCTCAGGGAGAGGAGGGTGGCAGGTAAGGCTGACGCCAGAGGTCAAGAGGGGGCGAGTGGTCAGGGCCATGTTGGCCACATTATGCCCTCACCTCCCCAGAGTTTACAGCACCATGAACGGGAAGCAGAAGAGGTGCTTCCGGGGCTCCCAGGGTGACGAAGGGTCCCTGCTGAAGGTGAGTTGCTGTGGCCCCAGGTAAGCGGCACACCAAGACCTTCTGCACCACTCCCCACCGCCCGCCCCCCGCCCCACTCCCAGTCTGTCAGCTGCCCAGATAGGCCACCTGAACCTATGCCCTCCTGGGCACCTGATCAAGGGTCCTGTACTGGCTGGTACCCACAGTGGCCTGGCTGACAAAGGATGCCTGGGAGCCAGGGGTGCCCAGACTACTTACTTCTACTCACTTCCCCAAGAGGAGGTGTTTCCGTGGTTTCTGTTTTGAGTTGCAGCAGGGTGGTGGGAAGAATCACAGAGGGCTGGGCTCCCTCATCAGGCTTTCGCCCTGCCTGGTTATCCAGGACAAGGTGAGGACCTTCTCAGAGCCCCTGGACCAGGGCAACTGTTAGCGGGCTCCAGCAGACCCTCTCGGAGCTCTGCCTCAGGCTGACTGCGATCATGGGCAGGCCTCCTCTCTGCTCAGGCCTGTCTCAGCATCTGTGAAATGTAAATAAAGAGCCTTTACCATAGAGTTGTTCTGTGGAGGAAATAAGTTCACACACGTAACAGTGCTTAGTACAAAGCCTGACCATCCCCAGTACATTGCTGTGGTGGTTAATTTCTTCACTGGTGAAATGGGAGCATGAGCTCGTACCCTAACCAGGGTGTGTGTCCTGAGGGCTAGCTGGGACAAGTCCATGTCCAGCACGAGGAGGGTCCTCATTCAGTGGGGGGCTGTGATGTGTGACCCAGGCCTTGCGATAGGGAAGAAGCAGGTACCCCAAATATCATATGGGCCCTCTTTTCGGCAGGTCCATGTGGACCCCTCAGGTACCTTCCTGGCCACAAGCTGCTCTGACAAAAGCATCTCAGTGATTGACTTTTACTCAGGCGACTGTGTTGCCAAGATGTTTGGCCATTCAGGTAGGTGTGTCCTGCTTGGGACACTTCCCCACCCCATCCCTGCACCCTTCTAATTCAGAAGAGCAGTGAAGCTTCTCTGCTCTGCTTGCAGAAATTGTCACTGGCATGAAGTTCACCTACGACTGTCGTCACTTGATCACAGTGTCTGGAGACAGGTGAGAAAGGCCTGGAAGGAAGCTGCCCCTGGCTGGCCTCCCTCTGGAAGTAGGTGGGACCTATACTGTGGGGAGAGCAGGGTTGGTGCCCAAAGAAGTCCCATCTGTTGCTCCCTTCAGTTTGCTCCTCTCCCTCCTCACAGCCCCCTTCCTTGGGTCTGAGGCCTTTAAGACAAGCCCCGGTTTGCTGGGATGCCTGCCCAGGCTGTAGGCCTAACACAGTCTGGGGCTCCCCGCACTAAGCTGACAGGGTGTTTTCCAGGAGGGGCCAGGGAATGGGGGTTTTGGCTATGGGGACCCAAGTGGCTGCAAGGTCAGATGGCTTCCATATTCTCCACTCTTCCCCGTCTGCATCTCTCTTTGGCCTCTGCAGCTGTGTGTTCATCTGGCACCTGGGCCCGGAGATCACCAACTGCATGAAGCTGCACCTGCTGGAGATCAACCACCGGGAGCAGCAGCAGAACATGAAGGAGCAGAAGTGCAGCAGCCACCCCAGGTCCTGGCTGCCACCAATCCAGCCCCCAGAGGAACGTCCTCCTGCCCTGGGCCCTGCCCCCTGTGCACTCATGGCCTAGTGGCAGAGACAAACTTGGGATACAAATTTACGATAATACATATGAGAAGGGTTTTGAAGAGAAAAAGTAAAATGATGGAGGGCCCGTGAGCAATGTGATAGGGGAAGCCCCAGGGATCTTCAGGGATCAGAGGAGGATCCTGATCCAGCCCATGGTGGCAGGGTAGGTGGCAGGGGTTCAGTGAAGTTGGGATGTCTTCTTACTCTTTAAAGTCTTTACGCTTGCAAGACCAAGTTTTATTTGAAGTGTTTTGTGTTCTGGTATTTGATTTGGGATTTTGGTGTGGAGGTCTAAGTTTGAGTGGGGAGTTTGGGTTTACCCTCTCTCCTGCCCTGGGGCTGTCCCTGTCTCTGTCTTGAGGCTCTGCCATTGCCTCCCCATGGGAACCAGGCCTTGACATGACCCACCTGCCCTGCAGTAGTTGCAGAGGTACAGCCGATCTATGCACAAGGGAGTGGGCAGCTTCCTCTTCGCTCCTAGTTTTGAGCCTCTCACCATCCTTAGGGCTGGAGCAGGGTCCTGGCTTCAGGGCCTGCCTATGCCAAGCATGTTTCAGTCTCCAAAGGAGCTAAAATCTCATTGCTACCTCCCACTTCCCAGAACAGAACCAGTGAGAACAGAACAGCAGCTCTGTACTCAGGCCTCATGATCTGCTTTGCTTTCTGTCCCATTGCTGTGGCCCTTGGATGCACCCTTCTAATTCAGAAGAGCAGTGAAGCTTCTCTGCTCTGCTTGCAGAAATTGTCACTGGCATGAAGTTCACCTACGACTGTCGTCACTTGATCACAGTGTCTGGAGACAGGTGAGAAAGGCCTGGAAGGAAGCTGCCCCTGGCTGGCCTCCCTCTGGAAGTAGGTGGGACCTATACTGTGGGGAGAGCAGGGTTGGTGCCCAAAGAAGTCCCATCTGTTGCTCCCTTCAGTTTGCTCCTCTCCCTCCTCACAGCCCCCTTCCTTGGGTCTGAGGCCTTTAAGACAAGCCCCGGTTTGCTGGGATGCCTGCCCAGGCTGTAGGCCTAACACAGTCTGGGGCTCCCCGCACTAAGCTGACAGGGTGTTTTCCAGGAGGGGCCAGGGAATGGGGGTTTTGGCTATGGGGACCCAAGTGGCTGCAAGGTCAGATGGCTTCCATATTCTCCACTCTTCCCCGTCTGCATCTCTCTTTGGCCTCTGCAGCTGTGTGTTCATCTGGCACCTGGGCCCGGAGATCACCAACTGCATGAAGCTGCACCTGCTGGAGATCAACCACCGGGAGCAGCAGCAGAACATGAAGGAGCAGAAGTGCAGCAGCCACCCCAGGTCCTGGCTGCCACCAATCCAGCCCCCAGAGGAACGTCCTCCTGCCCTGGGCCCTGCCCCCTGTGCACTCATGGCCTAGTGGCAGAGACAAACTTGGGATACAAATTTACGATAATACATATGAGAAGGGTTTTGAAGAGAAAAAGTAAAATGATGGAGGGCCCGTGAGCAATGTGATAGGGGAAGCCCCAGGGATCTTCAGGGATCAGAGGAGGATCCTGATCCAGCCCATGGTGGCAGGGTAGGTGGCAGGGGTTCAGTGAAGTTGGGATGTCTTCTTACTCTTTAAAGTCTTTACGCTTGCAAGACCAAGTTTTATTTGAAGTGTTTTGTGTTCTGGTATTTGATTTGGGATTTTGGTGTGGAGGTCTAAGTTTGAGTGGGGAGTTTGGGTTTACCCTCTCTCCTGCCCTGGGGCTGTCCCTGTCTCTGTCTTGAGGCTCTGCCATTGCCTCCCCATGGGAACCAGGCCTTGACATGACCCACCTGCCCTGCAGTAGTTGCAGAGGTACAGCCGATCTATGCACAAGGGAGTGGGCAGCTTCCTCTTCGCTCCTAGTTTTGAGCCTCTCACCATCCTTAGGGCTGGAGCAGGGTCCTGGCTTCAGGGCCTGCCTATGCCAAGCATGTTTCAGTCTCCAAAGGAGCTAAAATCTCATTGCTACCTCCCACTTCCCAGAACAGAACCAGTGAGAACAGAACAGCAGCTCTGTACTCAGGCCTCATGATCTGCTTTGCTTTCTGTCCCATTGCTGTGGCCCTTGGAGAGCTTTTCTTATTTTTTGAGCCCAGCCTTTGTTCTGTCTTACTGATTGTGGCTGTGTGTTTCTAGCAGAACAGGTGTCCCACATGAGACCTTCCAGCACCATCTTGATTGGAAGTCAGTAACATGTTCATGTGGAACCTAACACAGGGCCCAGCCCCACGCCGGTTCCCCCTACCACCCTATTTACCTATTTCTCTCTTTGCCATCCTCATCCTTGGCTTTAGGCATGAGACATACACATTCATGCCCAGCAAGATTTGCTCCCTCAGCCCTGGGGAGCAGACAGAAGATGAGCCGGAGGAAGAATGCGAATCTGAAGAGTTGCTGAAGACACCATCCAAAGAGAGCTTGGATCCAGGTTGGGAAAGGGACCCAACCAATGGGGCCCTATTTTGAACTCTTAGTATAGGGATCATCTCTGGGTTTCACCCACTACTTTGTTTTCCGGGCCTGGCACATAATGAAGCTCAGTAATCATATTGTTCAGGATTTTCAGTGTAATAGCAACCAGACCCTAATTGGCTTAAATTGGAAAGATAATTTATTGGCTCAAGTACCTGAAAATTTTACAAGAATATTGGCTTCAGGCATAACTGGATCTAGGTAGTCGAGTGATACTAAAGGAAGATATTTTTCTCCATCTCTTGGCTCTGCTTTTCTCCATGTTGGCTTTGTTCTCATGCAGACTCTCCCTTCCCTGGGGCAAAGGTTTCCTTAGCAGTTGTAGGTCAGAAAACTCCGTGGAGAAGAGAGCACCTCTTTCTCAGTAGCTCAAGCAAAGTCCCAGGGTTGTGACTTATGTTCCTGGTGTGAGTCATCTGCCCCATTCTGATTCAGTTACTGTGAATGGCAAGGCCTGAGTCATGTGGTCATCCTTGGGGACAGAAGCTTCAATCATCTCCATCTGACCAAAGATGGGGGTGGAAGGGGATATTCAGGGGAAACACAGGGTGCTGTTAACCAGAAGATAGAACAAGTTCTATTGTTCAAGCAAAAGGGAGAGTGGTAGCTCAATTTTATAAAAAGGCCAAGCCCTCTGTGAATTCTGCTCCTTTGCATATTGGCTTGGCTGCAAGATGGCTGCTTAAGTTCTAGGCATCAAAGGCATGGTTAAATAGGACATTCCCTCATGGAATCTCCTTCAGACAGGAAACTCTCCCAGAAGCCCCTTTGGGTTTCTCTCAGGTCCCATGGCCATGACTGCTCCAGCAATGAGAGGCTGGGAAGAGTGGCTAGCACTGGGTGCTGTCAGCCAATAAGAGGAAAACAGGCAGGGGCCAACCGGATGGCTGGTTGGTGAAGAAGAGAATATGAGAATTCAGCCTTAGGAAAAAAACAGAGAGTAAATAACTAATTTTCTTTGTTGCCACCCTCACACCTGATCCAGTGTCCCACCAGGGTGGCCACTTTTATCAGTTTGGTGTGATCCACACCAAACTGATAAAAGTGGCCTTCCAAATTCAGTCTATGTGGAGACTGGGACTCCTAGAGGCCGGCAAAGTAGGGGTGCCCTCCATGCACTCCTTTCTTCTGTGAGCCCTTTTGCCCCTCCATGGCTCTCCCTGGACAGCCCCATCATCCTTCCAGTCTCAGCTTAGGCAGCCCTACATTCATGCAACATGTATTTACTGAGTGCTGCCCTGTGCGAGGCCTTTTTCTGGCCGGGAGCTAGAGCAGTGAGCAGGGCAGGCAAATCTCTGCATTCACAGACTCATTTTCTAGTGTGGGAGATAGACAGTCTTCAACAGGTAAATTGCATAGTGTTTTGCAAGCTGTTCAGTGCGATGGCAGAAACATCCTTATAGTCCTTTTCCTGAACATTAATATGCATATGTTCGAAACACATTAATATGCTAGCCATTGAAACACAAATTATGTCCACAAATTGTAGTATACTGCAGACATCACTCTGTTGTCTTTTTCCTCCCGTGTAAGTACCTTATCAAACTGGATATTGGTGGATACATAGCAAAGGCCCCCCCCCGCCATCTGATCCTGAATACCAGCAGCATGGTAGGGTATTTCAAGGTGCCCCTGTCTAGGTGGGCATTTAGGTTTTATCTCACTTTACTCCATTGTGAATGAGGCTGTGCTGACTGCTCCAAGGCTGCCACTTCAGGCACATGTGAGTGTTTCTCCAGGCCAGACACCAAGTCCTGGCCCTGCTGTGCCCTGGGGTATTATGAATTATTTTGAAACAGAACCCCCAGTGCCTTCCAAATTCAGTGACTGCCGCACCCAGCAGTCAGCATTAAACCCTCCACTCCTGGAGACTGGTCAATATTTGATAGTATGAAGAACTTAAATTTGTGTCATTTTTATGGGTGAAATATCTCCCATTGTGTAAATGTGCATTTCCCTGACAATTAGTGAAGTGAGGTGAAGCATTTTTTCGTAGGACTGTCGTTTCCTGTATTGTCTCTTTGGAGAACTGCCTGTTTATATATGCACCCATTTGTCTGTTGGGTTGTTTATTCTTTTTTCCTGGATTCTATGTCTCTCCAGATCCTCAGTGCCTGCTGACCAATGGCAAGCTGCCACTCTGGGCAAAGCGGCTGGTGAGTCTATGTGGAGACTGGGACTCCTAGAGGCCAGCAAAGTAGGGGTGCCCTCCATGCACTCCTTTCTTCTGTGAGCCCTTTTGCCCCTCCATGGCTCTCCCTGGACAGCCCCATCATCCTTCCAGTCTCAGCTTAGGCAGCCCTGCATTCATGCAACATGTATTTACTGAGTGCTGCCCTGTGCGAGGCCTTGTTCTGGCCGGGAGCTAGAGCAGTGAGCAGGGCAGGCAAATCTCTGCCTTCACGGGCTCATTTTCTAGTGTGGGAGATAGACAGTCTTCAACACGTAAACTGCATAGTGTTTTGCGAGCTGTTCAGTGCGATGGCAGAAACAGCCAGGAGTGCCAGGGAGTGGTGGCAATGTTCAGGTAAAGAGAAAGGGCCTCACTTGGGGAAGTGCTATTGGGGCAGAGTTGGAACAAGTGAGAAATGCGGGTCCTGGGGCAGAGTGTTTAAGGTAGAACAGTGTGCAAGGGCAAAGGCCCTGAGGCAGTGTCGGGTGTAGTGTGCTCAAGGAGTACAGGGAGGCCCAGGTGCCTGGGTTGAGGATGAATGAGGGGTGGGAGTGGGGGGCTCAGAGGCAGTGGGGCCGGATGGGGTGGGCTGTGGTGCATTCCCTCCGCACTCCTTACTGCCCTCCCCCACTTCTTTTCCCCAGAGCACCAAGATGGAGAGAAGGGAGGGCTTGGAGCTGAGGAAGGCCATGATCTGCCTCAGGTGTTCATGGCCCTCCATGGCTGCCTCTGAGAGGCAAGTGGGGGGACAGAGGAGGCTGCTGCCAGCAGGAGAGATTGGAGGCTGGATTGGGGAAGAGCCGTTTGGATTTTGGTGGTTTTTTAGATGGAGCCAAACAACTGGATAGGAGGAAAAGAAGGACTGAGCTGACATTAGGATTGAACGAATGGCTGTTAACTTGAGGGAGGAGCAGGCTAGGAGCTGGTGGGTTAGTGGTGGGCAGCAGAACCCTAAACCCTAGTTTAGATGGTTTATGTCAGGAGAAATGTCAGACCTTAGATCCAAGCCTAAACTTCCTCAGGGAAGTCCTCCTTGCCATCCCCTCCTCTGCAGACCGTCAGGGCATCTGGCTGTACTCTCAGGCCCAAGCTTCCCCTTATCAATGCATATACAGTTGGAATTACATTCAACAAATATTCACACCACACTCTCTGTGGGCTCTTTTCTGACTTTTGTATCTATTATCTCATTTAATCCTCATTGAGGTAGGGGCTTTTTACATCTCCATTTCACAGATAGGAAAACTGAAGCCCAGAGAAGTTTACTTTTCCAGGGTCACACATAGGAATTAGAGGACATGGGATTGATCCTAGGCAGGCTGGCTCCAGAGCCTGAGTTCTAAACACCCACCCTCCTGTCTCTGAAGCAACAGTCTTGGTAGGAGGCAGTGGTGGGCAGGACCATGGTGGCAGGAGAAGTCTGTATCTCGATGTGTTTGGATGGCAGAGCTGAGAGAATTTGCTGGAGAAATACAATGTGGAATATGAGGGACAGTATAAGAGAGAGCAATGAAAGATGACCTCAAAGTCTGGGGCCTGAGCAGCTAGAAAGAGTAACTGAGGTAGGGAAGGCTTTAGGAGGAGCAGGTTTACAGGGAAGATCCAGAGTTGTTTCCAATATGTTCACTTGGAAATATCACTAAACTGGAGATATATCTATATAGTCTAAATGTAAATACACTAAATATATCTGAAATACACTAAACTGGAGTAGATGTATGAAATATCTACAACTGGAGATGTAGAGCAGTTGCTTGAGCATTTCTGAAGCTTAAGAGGAAGTTACAAGCTGGAGATACGTGTCTGGAAGTTGTTTCTAAGTAGTGTTTAAAGCCAAGAGACAGGGTGAAGTCCCTACAGTGTCCCTGGACCTTGGTAGAGTTTTTGAGCACTTGGCTAGCTACCTGACTGTCCCTTGTCACTGTCAGCTAGGAGACGACGATGTGGTGGATGGCTCGGCCTTCCATGCCAAGCGCAGCTACCAGCCACATGGCCGCTGGGCAGAACGGGCTGGCCAGGAGCCCCTCAAGACCATCCTGGATGCCCAGCACCTGGACTGCTACTTTACCCCCATGAAGCCTGAGAACCTGGAGGCCTCTCTTCTGGATACAGTGGAGCCACGGAGCCTGGCAGGCCTCCTGAGTGAGGTACAAACTGCCTGCCTGCCCCAGCCCAGCTGGCCATCCCTACTCTTCCCGGGACTTGGAGCCTTAGCACTCTCGTTTTGAAAATAAGGCTGATTGTCCCACTCCCAGGGTGCAGGAGGATTATATAAGATGGTGGAAGGCAGGAAGTTGATCCCTGAGCCTGGTGCACAGTGAGACTTCCCAGGGTAGACAGGAAGTCTGAGAGGTGGGTCACTTGGGGGTTAAGAGCTTGGGTCTGAGAGCAGGCCTGGGCCTGAGTGGGGGCATCTGAGCAGGTGAAGCCCTGGCCTACCAGGTCCTGGCTCTATGACATGCTGCTAGGCTTGCCTCTCTGGGCTTCAGTTTCCAAAAAAAAAATGGTCATTAAAGAAAGGATAAAAAAGATAAAAAGATTTCTAAAAAATGGTCAAAATCTCTATAGCATCTTACTACACTGATGGACAGTAACTGCAAAGGGGTGTGTGGAGGGGACTTGATAATATGGTGAATGTAGTAACCACAACGTTGCTCATATGAAACCTGAGCATAAGATTGTATATCAATGATACCTTAATTTTAAAAAAAAGGTCAAAACAAGAAATCCCTCAGGGCTTTTACAGGAATCCAGTGCTTAGAACAGAACCTGGGCCCTCAGAGATGCTGAAGCAACTGTAGCTCTTACTCTATTATTTTCCAACAAAAATCTTTTTTATGCTATTTTTCTTTTTTGTAATAGTATGTAAACAACTCTTAGGTATACAGTCTGACGAATTGTTACCTATGTATCCACCACCCACATCAGAATATAGAGCATTTTCTCCCTCCTGAAAGACCCCCTTGTGCCCTTCTAGTCAGTGCTCCACCCAAGGGCACCAGGATTCTGACCTCTCACTGTGGACTGGTTGGCGTGCTCTGAAGTTCATGTGAATAGGGTCTTACAGGGTTGGAGCCATGCCTGTTTCTCCTGTGAAGGGGCTGATGCTGATTCGGGAGGAGCACAGAATGAGGTCATGATGAGCAGGGCACTTGGCCCAGGCTCACAGTGAGCGTCCAACAGAGGGGGCTGCCATCTCACCCACATCTTTACTATTACTGTCGGTGTGGACGGGACACCTAGAGGCTTGCAGAAGGCCCTGGTTGCCACAGCTGCCTCAGATGGCTGTGCTCTCTTCACCCCAGTCAGAGAGTCCCCAGGAGGATGGCTGTGGGCAGCCCTCCTTCCTGCCCCTCCAGAGGGCATCCTCTGAGGACAGTGAGCTCATCATCTACTCCCTGGAGGCAGATGTGACAGTCACAGAGACAGACAGGTGGGTGTCTTTTGCACCAAGGGGAGCCTTGGTTGGCAAGAAGCAGCCTCAGTTGACAGGCAGACCTTGGAAGAACCATTGCCTGCTCCCCTCCTGGCCCTGTGGGAGCGGGGCAGAGGGGGGGTGGTCTGGCCTCAGCTGCGGCTTCAGTTTCCCCTGTTCCAGGTGGAGGTGCTGGGAGCCTTTGGAGGAGGCAGGAGAGGCAGGCAGGACTCCCAGTAGGAGCAGGGTGTGGATGCCTAGGGGTGCTGGATGTGGCTGGTTGTTTACTAACTGGTATGTTTTCCTCCCCTTGCGCTGCCCCCACTGGCCCTGCAGCGAGTCCTGCACAAAGGAGGGAGACGGGGAGTCTGGAGACCCGCGAGGGGCTTCCTACCACAGGACCTCCTCCGTCAGCTCAAAGGATCAAAGCCCACCTGAGGGTGAGTGAGGGTGAGGAGGCAGGCACCCTGTGGCTGTCTCTTCTTCTGGCCAGGCCCCTTCCTGGTTACTGACGGTGACCCTGACCCCGTCATCCTGAAGATCAGAGTCTGTCAGACAGACAGTGGTCCCTTCTGCTACCCAAGGATTCTGGAGCCCAACTGCCCATTAGCAAGAGCCCAGCTCTGTCACTTTTTGAAGTGTAACCTTGCAGATCCATAAGAATGGGAGCAGGTATTATCATCCCCATTCTCCAGGTGGGGAAATTGAAGCCCAGAGAACCTGAGCCACTTACCTGACTCTGCAGCCAGAGCCTGTCTTCGGGCTCCTGACCCCTATCCTGCTCCTCCAGACTCAGGGGGATCAGAGGCCGACTTGGAGTGCAACTTCATCACCATCCATTCCTCCCCTCCGTGGCTGAACCCAGGCCCCCGCTTTGATATGACCATGCCCCCTACACCAGGTAAACAGGGGCTAGACACTGGAAGGGCAGTGCACAGACCTGGCTAGGAGACGGTCATGATGAGTAACCACTGGGCCCACATCAGTACTGCACCTGATGCCCGCTGAGCCTCCATTTCCTCATCTGGAAAACGCCTTTCCTCAGCCTGGTGGCAACAGGGTGTGGGACCGGCAAGTCCAGCTTTTTCCATTGTTAAGCGTCTGTGTCAGGGCAGCTGCCATGACTCGTGGTATTGACAATTCTCTCCTGCCTGCCCCCCTGCCCCACCCCTTCGCCTCTCCCAGGAAGCCCGGGTACTGCAGAGGAGTTGTCCCATCCTGAGGTGCCAGGCATATGCAACAGCTCCCTGCCCCAGACCCCTGAGCAGGAGAAGTTCCTCCGCCGCCACTTTGAGACGCTTACTGACGCCTCCTCTGAGGGTAGGGTCCTGCCCCTCTCTGAGCCCTGCCTGGGCATGCCACCTAGTGCTGGGCACAGTGTGAGCGTCTCTGGGATAGGGCTTCCCTTGGCAGTGCTTGTAGGGTGGTGGGAGGGCACAGGTTTTATCTTAAGGACTGAGCTGCAGTTCCCTCTCCTGTTGTGTTTGGACCCATTGCACGTTTGCTGCCTTTGATGGGGGTTTCTGAGGACCTGCCTGCTGGCCTTTGGGTCCACCTAGGCCCAGGGCTGGTTGGCTAGAGAGACTCAGGGCTCCCTGGGCGTCTTCCCTAGAGCTCTGCCATGGGTCCCTGAGAGACGTGAAGGCCTCTGAGACTGAAGACTTCTTTAGTCCTCGGCTGAGCATTTCAGCCCAGTTCCTGTCACGGCTCCAGGAGACATCCAGGTAGGAGCTGGTGATCTAGTGAACCCCTACCCAGTGTTCCAGCTGTCTATAAGGGGCTGTGTCCCCTGCGGTACCCCCAGGGCAGCCACAACCTCCTGGTTTCCTCCCAACAGGTTCACCCACACCTTCCCTCCCCAGCTTCCCCTGCACTTGGTGGAGTCCCCAGAAGTCGAACTCACAGACCTGGTGGGCAGCCAGCCCAGAGCAGAGCCCATGAGAGCAGGTACTGACTGTGCCTCCCCAGGCAGGACCAACGTGAGTACTGGGATACCCACCTCAGGACTCAGGGCTGGGAGCCAGGAGGCCTTCTCTTCACCGCGGGCTGTGCTTGCAGGTCCTCTCTGAGGAGCAGGCTGAGGCGCCCCTTGAGACTCTGGAGGCCTGGGGCCCACCAAGTGAGTGCCTCCTGTCCCCAAATGAATAACCCTGGGGTCTCAGCCAATGGCCCTGGGTGCCCAGCTTGGACCATGGTTGGGGATGGGCAGGGACCACTCGTACCCTGAAGCCACCCTGGGGTGGGGCCCTGTGCCTCCACCCTGTAGCTGGAGTGTGAGAGTAAGCTGGCTGCTTCCTTTACAGCCCCCTGCCTCACAGGCCTGGTGCCCTGGGTCCCCTCCTCCGCAGTGCTGCCCACAGAAAGGAAGCTGCCTACACCTACAGCCCTACCTGCTCTAGACCTGGCTCAGGGTGTCCACACCCCCTCCACCGGCTCCTACAGGAAAGCCACTATCAGCTCCCGTGCCAAAATGTCACGCCACATCTCCCTGGAGGGCAGTGAAGATCCTGGCCTGGCTGAGCTGGCCAGGCCCCTCCGAAGGCCTCCATCGATCAGGGAGCTGCCATCCCTGGGCCAGGATCTCCAGGCCACCATCACCATGGCAGCATCTACTGACAGTGAAAGCCGAGAACCTGCCCTGTCCTGTGGCAACCATGAGACCCGGGCCAGCCTTAAACTGACCCTGCCAAGCATCTGTGACAGGCTTTTGCTGCCCCGAGCCCCAGTGGAACCACCCACCACATGTGTCTGGTCCCAGGAGCCTGTGGTCACCCAGCCCAATGTTACAGTCACAACAGACCCCAGGCCTGTCGATGGGAGCGCCCTGACCCTTAAGCCCCTCAACAACCCTGCTCACCCGAACAGCCCCCCACTTCCAGAGACCAGGCCTGGGGTCCCAGGCAGCAGCATCTCTCTCCTGGAGCCCGCCTCTGGTGAGTACTGCCCTTGGGATAAGAGATTGTCCCCTGAGCTCATCCCATGTACCAGCTGACTCAGGTCTAAAGGTGGTTGTGACCTGGCCACAAGGGCTGTGTTATTCCTTCACTCATTTACTTAAATATTTAGAGAGTACTTTCTATGTGTTGCGCTTTGTCTAGGCCCTGGGAACATGGGAGGACTACAGAGAATTAACACCTTAACTGGGGTAGATGCCCAGACTCAATTTATAAGTTAAGTGTTTAGTGTATCAGAAAGTGATAATGTGCTGAGGAGAGAAATAAGAGAAAGGGTTTAGGGAGTGAGAAGTAAGGACACTGGTTACAGTGTTCAGTAGGATAATGAGAAAAGGCTATTGGGGCAAAGGTGACATATGAGCTGAGACATGCAGGAGAGGAGAGGTAGGGAGGGAGCCTTGGGGACTAAGGGGAATGTCCCAGGCAGAGAGACAACAGATAGAATCAGCCCAGACACCCTGGCCTCTCTTAGACCAGCTGGAAAGCAGAGGCATCTTCTCATTCTTTCCCCTCTACCCCCAGATGCGCTCAGTCTGGACACTGGCAGCCCTGGACACTGGGGGGAGTCCAGGGTACCAGCTGGGATTCTGCCCCCAGCTCCCTTTGAGCTGAGCAGTGTGGGGACCCTGGTGCACAGACTGAAGACTGCCTTCCAAGAAGCCCTGGACCTTTACCACTTGGTGAGCCAAGCCCCAGGGTCCAGGGAGAGGGCTGAGGGGACTCCCGGGGACTGCCTGGCCTGGGTCCCTGACAAGGTTGGCACCCCTTCCAGGTGGTCTCCAGTGACCAGGTGAGCACTGAGCAGCAGCAGGCACGGACTGAGCTGGCTTCCACCTTTCTTTGGATCCACAGCCAGTTAGAGACCAACGACTCACTGGTTGGGACCGATGTGGCCCCTGCCCAGGCCCTGCCCAGCCCAGGCCCCCCATCCCCACTGACACTGTGCCCCCTGGCCAGCCCTGATCTGCATGCACTGCTGGAACACTACTCAGAACTGCTGGTACAGGCTGTGCGGAGGAAGGCCCGGGGGCACTGAGGCCTGGCAGCCCCTGCCTCCACCTCAGTCCTGCTGCTTCTGCGGAAGTAGGTATTTTTAAGCAAATAAACTGACAGCTGGAGGAATGGTTCCTGGTTCCTGTCCTGGCGCATCCACAAAGCCCACGCTTCAGCTGGATGCAGGGAAGGAGGGTGGAGAGCAGTGCTCTGGTGGACTAGCCCAGGGATCTCTGTCAAGCCCTAGTGCTGAGCCCTGCTTTGGGACTCTGTTGGTGGAGAATATGCGCCCAACATTCCCAAGAAGTCTGGGGACTAGTAGTGACAACCCCAGCACCTGGCTCCCATGTCGCCTGTCCCATCCCATTGAGCTGCTGTGGGGTTATGTGTGGTCCTTGCCTAGTAGGGCCCAGCTGTACCCCAAGGGCCAGCCATTCTTCCCTGCCCCCTACTGATGCCCAAGAACCCACTGGAGCTGCTTTGCTCACCATGTGCCAGACCCTGGCCAGCAGCATCTCCATTGCCAAACTGTTGGCTCATGGCCCCTGGGCCAGGCCCATGCTGGATCCTATGAGGTTCAGGCTTTTGTCCCCATCTGCAGCAGAAATTGAGGAGAGACAAACAGGTTTACCCACTGGACATCCGAGCAGCATGCTCAGGCCTTCCAGCAGCTGGGACCAGTAATTCCTTCTCCAGTGGGAGCTTCAGGATCCCATGAGCTCCCAGTACTAGTACCAGCTTCCCCAGGCAGTAGGCATCTAGCCCCATGGCACGTCTGCAAGAATGCCCCTTGGGACCACAGAAAGCCTCCACTGACCCAAGTCTATAAAAAGGAAGCCAATGGGGGGCAGGGCCCCCCAAAACAGTCCGACCACATGGCTTACTGCAGCCTGACCCGCTTGCCGGTGAGTTCCTCCGTGCTGTGTTTGGTGGTCATAGCCCACCAGAAACAGGCTCAGAAAGATCTGGTGTCTTGCCCAGGGTCCCACAGAACTAAGACTCAAACCTAAACTGGCCTGGTAGCAGAGCCAGACCCTTCAACATGTGGACATGGTCCTCTGCTGCCTCTGTAAACATTGACACACATCAGAATCAATCATGCAGTTGTTAAAAAAAATCCTGCTGGCCCCCAGGTGCCTGTCACCGTTCAGCAAGTTGGGGTGGAGTGAGGATGTGTGCCTTCATGGCATTCGCCTCTGGAGAGTGAAACACACAAAGTAACTGTGAGACTTGGTGAGTTGAGGAAATTCACTGTGCTGGTTGAAGGGTCAAGGAAGGCTTTTCTGAGCTGACATTTGAGCTGAGGTTTGCTAAAGGGCACAGGCCATGTAGATGTTGTCCCAGGACAGTCACCAGGCAGAACAGCTAGTACCAGAGGCCCCATGGGGGGATCAAACCTATGTGTAAGGAATAACAACAAAGCCAGGATAGCTGAACAGAGTTAGGGGAGAGAGTAGGAGAGGAGGTAGAAGAATGGGGTCTAACCATGCAAAGCCTTATTGCTTCATGACATTTAAATCCAAGAAACATTTGCAACAATGTTTTTCTCTTCAATACCTGATCATGGTGTGGAGAGATGCCTGGTATTATTTATTTCTCAAGGTTCCCTCTCCCTGACTCAGGGAGTTGGGGTGGTCTAGAACTCATAGGTGGGCTGCACCTCTGCTAAGGGCTCCCGGCCCAGGTCCACAGCTGCCCCAACAAGCCTGGAAAACCACCCTTCCTACACCTGCCTGGCTTGGCCACAGTAGCCTAAGATCCTTGATGCAAGGTTTGGCATGCAAGCCCCTGGACACCAGGGGACCATTTTGAACCACTCTCCCTCATGGAATTTACCCTCTTCTGACCCAACTCCAAGTAGCAAACTCCTGGCTTTCAGGGGCCCAAGCTGTAGGGGACATATGTTGATGTTCCTGCTCTGTCACCCTTTGTGAATCTGAGTTTCACCCTCCAGCATAGGCCCTCACAGCTGCAACACGGGTGCCGTAGCACTCAGCGGTACCCCCTCATCCAACCAGGGGCAAAGCCTTGAAGCAAGGCAGCTGCCAGGGTAGTGGGGAAAAATAAAAAGGCTTCCTAGATGTCTCCTCCCCTTTCAAAGCAGTCATAGGAAACAGGAATAGATATTGTTTCGATTTGCTTCGACAAACATTTCTCCTCGGCATGTGACTACTTAAAATTGGACTCTCAGAACAAAAGGAGGGTGGGCTGGTAGTGAGAGAGGACCTGGTGTCTCTGCCATTCTCCACTTAATGCTGAGCTCTTCAGCCCTGGAAGGACCACACTTTGTCCTTGCACTAACCAGCTGGTTTAGCAACCACTGCTGGTGAATGTGTGTGTGTGGCTTGTGAATCTACAGAGTCCCAACAGGAAGAGGACAGCATTCTCACATGAGGTATTTCAAAGAGTTGAGTGATGGGATCATTTGCAAAGGAGTGGGTAGAGAGTAGGGAAACCACAGGGCCAACACAGTACCCTGGGCTGGTCCCAGGTAAGAGCTATTGCCCTCAGCCCCCACCCCGGCCATGAGGCACAAGGGGACAAAGTGCAACCCAGAAGAGCACATCCTGGAGAGAGGGCTACCCTAAGAGGAGCTGTGTCCCTTGCACCCCCACAGGGAGGGAGTTGGGCGGAATCCCCTCTCCCATCTTCAGGGCTCTCCATGGCTCAAGCCCTCCTGGAAGCTAGAGGGCACAGGAGGCCAGATGCTGCTGCCCACCCAGGTCAGCCTCCCAAGACATGGAATAGAGCAGAACAGGACAGAAAGAGTTCCTGGGGGCAAATAAAGACACCCAGGCCCAGATTTCTTCTCTAATGTGTTTTCAGCAACACAGGAACGTTACCCCAAGAGACAAGGTGCTGGGCATGGAGAACTGTGCACTTGAGAAGAAACAGAGTGGCTCCCTCACCCATTTGCTAGCTCATTCAGTGCAATTTGCCTCCTGCACTCCGTGCTGGGCACATCCCAGATAGCACACTGCTAGACCTGTGCTGGGCACTCCAGTCATGACTGCATGAAATCCAACAGTTGTGAGAGGGAGACACTTAAAACCCCATTTTAGGGATGGGTATATTGAAACTCAGATGCTTGCCTGACCACCCCATTCCTCAAGACTTCCTCAAAACCTCTTGTGTATGTCTGCCACTTGCCAGCACCCATGCTAAGCAGTCTCTCCACATGATCTACATGGGTCTCAGCACAAACCAGTGACTGATAGGAGACTCATTAGTCCTATTTTCCAGATGAAGAAGCCAAAGCTCAGCACAAAGAGACTTGCCCGGGTCCTGCAGAGATAACGTGGCAAAGCTCTGGGCCAGCTGCCTCAGCACTGCCTCCCTGCTTCCCCAAATTAAATCAGCAGGACAACTCCCGCCAAGTGTGAAGAAATGAAATACTGCTTCTCGCATCCCGAAGCCTCTGTATAGCCTGTTCCCTTTGCGTGAAAACTTTTTCCTTCAGGGCTCATGCCCAGGAAGCCATCCTGAACCTTAAACTAGATCAGGGACCTCTCCTGGGCACCCCAGTACCCCTGAGTTTTCTTGATTGCAGCTTGGATCCCTCTGCCTGGGCTTTCTGTCACAGGTGTGCTCATTCTGGGCTGTCACATGTTTCCCCCATCACTAAGTATGTGTTCATTTTCTGTGCCAAGTTAGGCCTAACCTATAGTTAGAGCTCAGGAAATTGTTAGATGAATAAATGAAAGTAATGGTATGGGGAATATTCAAAATCCTTAACCCTTGGTTAAGAGGCCAAACAACCAAGCTAGAGCACATCCCAGCTAGAGTGCTGAGGGTAGAGTCCTGGGAGCCCCTGCCTCTATCAGGTGATTCCTTTTAGTTCCTGGACAGGAAGGGCGTGGGGGTGGTGTTCCAAGCAGTCACTAGGAGCTGGACTATTAATAAACCAGCATTTGAATGCCTTCTACACCTAAGCAGTGCTTCTGGCTGAATGTCAGCTCTGGGCATCTGAAGATCAGAGAGGTAGAGCCTCCTGCTTAAGATGCACGGCCTGGATGCTCACTCTTCCCTTACCTACTGGACCCTGCTAGCCCTCCACCCTCTGGAGCAAGCAATCACAGTCACCCCTGTCCCTGCGTCCTCAAACAGCTGCTGTGATTTGAATAACCAAGCAGGCTGTTGGATGTCCAGTGGGGACTGATTTGCCTGGCAAACAGACCCTCAGGTCCTTGGCCCTGCTAGTACTGTGGGAAGACACGCAGCCCCCCTGGGGTCTCTGTTTCCTAAGAGCTCTTAGCACACCTAGGGGCTGCTTAAGCTCCAGTCTTGCCCTTGTTTGACTTCCTTGGGGGGTCCTAAAGCTGGTCTGCTCCGGGGCTGGAGAGTGCTCTCAGGAACCTGGCACACAGGAAAGGGCAGGAATGGCAGGCCCTGTGGCAGAGGTAACTGGAGACAGCAGAGTTGGCTCCCTGGGCCTGTCACAAAATTTGCATGGAGAGAATGAGGCTCCTCCATGGCTTCCCCTCCCTTCCCACCCGGAGAGTCATCCTGGGGCTGAGGTCTGACAGCAGGTGGAGGCAGCTTTTGTGTGCCTGTGTGTGTGTGTGCATGTGTGTATGAGTGGAGCCATCTCATCATGCCCCGTGCCTTCCTCGTCAGGAGTCGGCGTCCACAGCCACCTAACTGGGGCCACCTGCCTGACCAACTTCGAGGAGACACCTATGTCCCAGGTGGGCCCCTCACTGGGCCCGGAGGTGCGGGGTAGGGGAGACACAAAGTATTACTCTGGCTTCTCTCCTCAGACTGCAACAGCCTTGGGGGGCCACCAGCACATCAATCTTCCAGCCTCGGGGATCCTTGGGCAGCGGTGAGTCTGCAGCTGCCCCACAAGCCCCTGCTGTTTCACCCCCTCTGCTGTCTGCCTCTGCAGAACCTGACTGGCTCTTACTTCCCCAGCCCATTTGCACATGCCCCTCCAGCCTCAGCCCCTTTCCATCCACTGTTCTCTGCTGGGATGGCCTTTTTTTTTTTTCTTCATAGCTCAGGTACCCACCACCCAGCATCCAAAATGGTATTTAAGTCTGACCCTAGGCCTCATTTAACCACATGGTTTCCTATCAACCTATCCCTCTGTCTCCCCCTACCCAAGGAAACCATCTCTCTGAATCTTGTGTTGTTATTGCTCCCTTTTTTTCTTTTTATGCAGTTTTATTGCATCTATGTGTACTGTTACGGAGTTATTATTTTTTTATTGAAATATCATTGATAGGCCTTTCTATTCTTAGTAGAGAGCTGTTAGACTTCATCCCCAGCACCATTTCCCCATGGTGGGAAGCCATTCTCTGCCCCCAGGGATCTCTTTGTCCAGTGGGGCAGAGGAACAGGATTCAAGCTGAAAAATGATTTGAGGGGTGGGGACAGGAGATTGGGGCCTCTCATAAGGGGTATTCAGCTGTGAATTCACTGGCAGAAGGGAAGCACTAGGAGTGCAGATATGCTTGAGATTATTTCAGTATTTATTGAGAGCTAGGGACTATTCTAGGCAGGCAATGTGTATTTAGCAGGAATAAGACAAAAGTTCTGCCTTCCTGAAGTTTATAATCTGATGGGGGCTGCAGATGTAGGCAATAAAACTAGAAAAATATGTACGTTGGAAGTTGGTATGTGCTATGGAGAAATATAAAGCAAGGTAAAAGCAATGGGGGATGGTCAGGGAAGGCCATGGAGAGGGTGGCATGTGCACTCACAAATAATAGTCTCTGACCTTCCCAGACCTCCTTGGCTCTGTTCTAGGCACTCCATTTGCTCTGGTCGGAGGTGGGTGGTAGGATGGGCGGGGGCAGTTGGTGATCATTTGGTGGGGTTTAACTCCCACATCCCTCCCACAGCCCATGCAGGGCACTCTCGCTGCCACTCCCAGGGGCCCTGGGACACTTGGCTGCCCACTCTGCCCCAAGACCTTTCCACTGCAGCGCATGCTGACTCGACACCTCAAGTGCCACAGTCCTGCACGCCGCCACGTGTGCCGCTGTTGTGGCAAGGGCTTTCACGATGCCTTCGACCTCAAGCGCCACATGAGGACTCACACTGGTGAGGAAAGGCAGGGACAGGGAGGGGCTACTGGGCCCCAAGTAGGGGTAGAATGGAATGGAGGGAAGTGCCCAGAACACGGTGTAGTGTACCTCGGATCCCTGAGGGTGGATGTAAGGTGGAGGCAGGGTAGAGGCCAGCTGAGGGGTGTAGATAGAAGACAGGCACTGGTTACAGGATTTAGGTCCCAGGTTAAAGAGTGCAAGGAAAAGGCCCACTCCCTCTTTCCAGGGGAAAGAACATCCTATGAGGGTGGGGACACAGGTGTCTGGCTCATATTTGCAGTGGGTGGAGGCAGCAGATGGTGGGACATAGAGGGAGTCTGGCGAGCTTAGAATAGGAATGGGGGAATGCAAATGGAAGACAAAATGTGGAGACTTTGGTCTAGACGTCATTGCTCTCTGTCCGCTCCTGCTCTGGTCCATGGATGCAGGGATCCGGCCATTCTGCTGCAGGGCTTGTGGGAAAGCATTTACACAACGCTGCTCACTTGAAGCGCATCTTGCCAAGGTGCACGGGCAGCCAGCCAGCTATGCTTATCGTGAGCGCCGTGAGAAGCTGCATGTATGTGAGGACTGTGGCTTCACCAGCTCGCGGCCTGACACCTATGCACAGCACTGCGCCTTGCACCGCTCTGCTTGAGACCGCACCAAGTAATCAGCCCGTGAGAGGCAAATAAATCAGGAAATGTACGCAAAGAACACAGCATTTATTACACATGGGGGAGGATGGTTCACTCAGTCCAGCGGTGGCCACAGTGCGGGGCTGTGCACACGTAGTACAAGCGCATGGCGTCCTGGCAGAAAGGACCCACAGTCAGGAAGGGTCTAGACCCAACAGAGGGTACAGTATGGAACCTCATCCAGCAGAGCCTCACCCCAAAATAACAATGGAACTTTCCCCACTGGTAAATGTCCAGCTCAGGACGCCAGGGTCCCCCCGGTAGTGGTATCCCCGCCCCGGGCAAGGTCTAAGCCCAAGATACTCAGCCTTCCTTTCTCGTGCTACTCACCTCTGCCCGGGCACTGTGCGACTGGAAGAACACCGCCTCCTTGTGGCCACACCTGAGGGGACAGTCAGCCACTCAGCCTGCCATGCCTTTCCCTTCTCCCTCCTCTGCCCCCAATACCAGCTGCGCGCTCACTTTTGGCACGGGTGGTCCTCGGTTCGCGGCAACGTGGGGTCCTGGGACACGTCAGCGATTATCTGGGTCAGTTCGCTGAGGGAACAGAGGGTGAATAATTATGGAGGCTTCCCAAGCCAACAACCCCTGTTCCCAAGCTTCAGTCCTGCTACTCACTCCACTTCGTGCGTGATTTTGTTGACATAGATGCAACTGTTGTCGGCTTCCTGCTGGTAATCACAATTCCGGCACTGTGAGAGGACGAATGTGGGGGAAGGGGGTCACGGAGAGATCCCGATAGGACGGGAAGGGAGGGCAAGGTCTTCCTCGGAGAAGGTGACTAGGGGATGGAGTCTTGGAGGTTGGGACAATAGGTGGATCGAGAATCACCTTGGCGATGGACAAGACACCTCGGGTTCACTCAGGGTAGTCAGGAGGCGAGAGTAGGGCGCGTGGGGTATGTAACAGGGAGTAGGGGTCACGTTGGGAACCTCTGGACAGGTGGGAAAGACCGGGGCGCCCCGCGGGCTCGCGCTCACCGCGTAGAGCAGAATGCGGTTCTCCTTGTCCTCCTTGGGGTAAAGCATGTTGTTACTGTGGGGAAGGGGAGGTCAGAAGTCAGTCCTGGGGCCATTACTTGCTCCCCTCCACTCTTGCTACCCCAGCCTCACCATTCCTGGCAAAATCGAATACCCACGAAACCCGGTTCGTAGGTCCCGTCAGGTTCCATAGCTACGCACTGCCCGCCCAGCCTTCCGCGTTCGCTCCGCCGCGCGACAGGTCGCGGAAAGGGTCAGGCCTAGTTGCTTCGCCAAAAAGGGGGCGGAGCTGCGCGTACGTACTGGCTCCCTGCAGCTTGGTGCTCGGTGCTCTGCCTGAGGTCTGATCAATGCTTGCTAAATCTTTTGCTATCTTAGAGTAATTGCTTCCAATTTCTGGGTCTCGCTTTCCCGGTTTATAAAGTAGTGTGGTACGAGACCTGGGAAAACGGTGCGACACGAACACCGCAAATCCCTAAGCATGAAAGGAGCCATTGCTCGCATCTGGCTGAAGGCCAGTGCACATGCGCGAGCTTACCCTTCGCGGACGCGGTAACTCTTGCCAGTCCATCCTCCCGGCTTCAGCCTTCGCCTGCCCGGATCTTTTCTCGTGCGGCCATTGGAGGCCTTTCAGGATTGGCTAGGGAGCTCGAGAAGAGACGGCGGCGATTGGCGAGCCCTCCTTGCAGGAGAGCGTGGATTGGCCAGGTGGGGAGCAGGGGGAAGGTCGGCTAGCCCAGAAGCGGCGGCGGCAGCGGCTGCGGAGCCGGTGTGAGCCTGTCTCACCGGGCTGCGGGCCCCGGCAGGGAGCGGCGAGATGGAGGTGACCGGAGTGTCGGCGCCTACAGTGACCGTTTTCATCAGCAGCTCTCTCAACAGCTTTCGCTCCGAGAAGCGGTACAGTCGCAGCCTCACCATAGCTGAGTTCAAGGTGTGGCCGTGGGGGCGGGGTCCGGAGGGACGGGGCGTAGGGCTGAGGGGGCGGGGCACAGAAGAAATGGGCTTCCCAACGCGAGAGGGGCACGAGATAAGCCGGCGTTGCTGAGATGGGGAAGGGGCTCCAATGGGGCGGGGCCAGAGGGAAGCTCCGGTTCCAGAGAATGGGAATGGATTCAGGGAAATTCTAGTTCCAGAGGGCGGGGGCAAGAGCCGAGGGGTGGGTCCTAAATAGTTGGTGTCTTGCTGGTACAAGGACTGGGAGATAATTATTGATAAAAGTGGCGGAGCTTCAGGGCAGTGGGCGGGGCCGCTGACACTCCTCCACCTCTCCTCCCCCAACCCCTTGCTCTGCAGTGTAAACTAGAGCTGGTGGTCGGCAGCCCAGCTTCTTGCATGGAACTGGAGCTGTATGGTGCTGACGACAAGTTCTACAGCAAGTTGGATCAGGAGGATGCACTTCTGGGCTCCTACCCCGTGGACGACGGCTGTCGCATCCACGTGAGGCCTCCGTTCCATTCATTTATTCAACAAATACTGGCTGTACTTGCCCTGTGTGAAAACCAAGATAGGCCCTACTCTTATGGAGCCCCCAGTCCACCATGGAGAAAAAAAGATCTGTCACCTGACAGTGACAGCCAGAGTGGGCCAGACTGGGCTAGGGATACATGGAGAGGTAGCTGACTCCACCTGAGAGTATCAGGGGCTTCCTAAAGGAAGGGATGCCTGAGCTGAGACCTGAAAGATGAGGAAAGGGTGACCCAGGAGAAGAGATGAGAAGGGCATGCCAGACGGAGAGAGCAGAGTGTACAGAGGCATAGAGTGTGAGGTAGGTCAGGGTGAGTGATGAGACTGGCGTGTTGGGAGAAGCCAGAACACAGAGGGCCTCAGCATGCATCAGCTCACATCATTCTCTGTCCTCACCTCCACCCCCCCTACCCACCCAGATATTATTCAGACAGCTCAGCATCCCCAGTGAGCTCCACCTCAGGGCCTTTACATGTACTATACCCTGTACCTGAATGTTTTTTTTTTGTATCATTAATCTACAATTATATGAGCGACATTATGGTTACTAGACTCCCCCCATCATCAAGTCCCCACCACATACCCCATTACAGTCATTGTCTGTCGGCATAGTAAGATGCTGTAGAATCACTACTTGTCTTCTCTGTGTTGTACAGCCCTCCCCGTGCCCCCACCCCCTACATTATGTGTGCTAATTGTAATACTCCCTTTCCCCTCTTGTCCCTCCCTTCCCACCCATCCTCCCCAGTCCCTTTCCCTTTGGTAACTGTTAGTCCATTCTTGGGTTCTATGAGTCTGCTGTTGTTTTGTTCCTTCAGTTTTTTTCTTTGTTCTTATACTCCACATATGAGTGAGATCATTAGATACTTGTTTTTTTCTGCCTGGCTTATTTCACTGAGCATTAATACCCTCTAGCTCCATCCATGTTGTTGCAAGTGGTAGGATTTGTTATCTTCTTATGGCTGAATAATATTCCATTGTGTATATGTACCACATCTTCTTTATTCATTCATCTACTGATGGATGCTTAGATTGCTTCCATTTTAATGGTTTTTATGTGACCATATGGCTTACTCCTTCCTTCCAGTCTTTACTTAAATGTTGCCTCCCAAGTAGTGTAAGACCATCAGTGGCCTCAGTGTAAAATTTAAACCTTCTCCCTTTTCCACTTTATTTGATCTTCATCCTTAGCTCTTGTCATTTTGTGATATACTGTACATTGCCCACAGCACCTGGAACAATGCCTGGTATAGAGAGGATGCTCAGTGAATCATTGTTGAATGATGATAAGTTGAATCCATAAAATAAGATAGGGAAGATGATGTAACTAACCCTGTTTTTCAGGGGAAAAAGCAGCTTCAGGGTGGAATTTGCTTTCTTGAGGATGAATGATAGCTAGAATTTTCACCTCAATCTGCATGACTGCAGAAGTAAGTGAGCCTGTAGAACTGGTGCTTTTTTACCTCTTTCATTTATCCAGTAATTGTTCACTGAGCGTCTGTGTTACAGCAACAGTATAGTTGTGAGCCAAGTCTGAGGTCTTTGTTTTAGCTCTGTCCAGTGTGTGAGGTAGATGTTAGCTAAATATTCACAGTAACAAATGTGAAGGGTCAGTGAGGTGAGGGCCATACAGGTGGAGATTGTGGAGCTGGGAGATCTCATACAGGATCTTGTACTGGAGATTCTATACACATCAGGAAGGCTTGAGAGGACTTCCTAGAGAAGGTAGTGTCTGAGCAGAGAGCTGAAGGATAGGAAGAAGAGGAGAGGGTGCTCCAGGAGAAGGGCGCAGCATGTGCAAACACTGCAGTGGGAGGCAGCTAGGCATGTTCAGGGACGAAGAGTGGCCTCTCATGTGGCAGAGGGAGGGAGGAGGAGCCAGGGGAAGGCTCTGAGCCAGGAGAGCCCTGCTCAGACTCAGGTCACAGGCTCCCTCTGACAGAAGGAGAAAGGAGACCAGGGCGGAGGCTGCTTTCTAGTCTGCTTCCTAGTTCAGATGGTGTGATGGGCCCGGACCACGGTGGGAGCAGGTCAGGGCTGAGACTTTGGGCCGATGGACCAGGCATGGGCAGTGGCATCCTTGAACAGGAGGTTTTTGCCCAAGGATTCAGATATAGATGGGCCTCGAACTTCCGAGGCCATTCAAGGAAGGTTTCCCAGAGGTGGAGGCCTCTTGGGAATTTTAATTTTTTCTGAAACCCTTTTTCTGTTTTTAAAAGTCACCTATATTTGTTGCTTAAGGTGACAGCAACCTCAAACTCTTAAAAACCCGTAATACAGCAAGTAGAAATTCTTAGTGGTCCTTGACCAGAGATAAGGGCCATTTCCATTTTGCTGTGTTAGCCCAGTGGTTCAGGCCAAACACCTTAGTCTTTCTTGACCCCTCTTCTTCCTTCACACTCACATCTAGTCTGTCAGCAAACCCTGTAAGCTCCACCCACAAAATATGTCCAAAATCTAAACTCTCTCCCATACTGCCCCCAACCCTGGCCTGGCCCTACCCTCTCCCTCTTGGACACCATAGCAGCTCCTCCCCATCTCCCTGCTCCCCACCTACAGCCAAGGGGAGTCTGTGGATCCCCAGTTCAGGCCAGGGCCTCCCTGGCTCAGAGCTTTCCCTCCCTGCATTTCATTCTGGATTAAAGCCAAAGTCTCCAGTGATCTGTTGTGTCTCCCACTCTCCCCTGGCTCACTCCAGCACAGTGGCCTTTCTGCTGCTCATGAAAGGGGCCAAGGACACTTCTACTTGGGGAACTTTGGGCCTGCTGTTTTTTCTCAGCCTTCAGGCCTTGGCTCAGACATCCCCTCCTTTTGGAAGTTTTCCCTGACCGGCTTCCCATGCTCCTTCACCTCTTTGTGGTGGTGGTCTACCACCACCTGTTGTCACTTGGTGTTTATACACATACCTGTTTATGGTTGGTCTCCTAGTAGAATGAGTACTCCTTCAGGACAGGAGTTTATCTATTTCTGCACCACGTCCCTAGCACCCAGCACAGGGCCCAGCTGGCTTTGGAAGAGCTCAGCAAGCGATGAGTGAATGCGTATTGGGGGTAGTACAGAAAGAGATGCTCCAGGGTCTGGAGGTTGGGGCCAGCTTAAGAGGGCCACAGAGGCTCAGGGAGCACAGATGTATAGTCCTTTTGAGCAGCACCCAAGCTCTGCCCTTCAGGTCTAGTGACTGGGAGCCAGTGATGCTGATCACTGATGTGGATGCGAGCATGTGGTTATCTGGGGGGCAGATCCAGTCTCTAGGGGCTAGGATTGGGGTAAGGAAGGGGAGATGGCCGGTGTAGATACCTACTCTCATCCATTCTGCTTGGATCAGGAGAGGAGAGACTAGGATAAAGGTGAGGGTAGAGGAATGTGGTTTTTCCTAGACAGGAGAGACGTCCGTGGCGTGCTCCAGTGTGCAACCCCCCACCAGCGCACCCCACCTGCCTCCCTGATGGGACTCTGATCCCCACTGATGCCTCTCCTCGCTACAGGTCATTGACCACAGTGGTGCTCGCCTTGGGGAATATGAGGATGTGTCCAAGGTGGAGAAATACGAGATCTCTCAAGATGCCTATGATCAGAGGCAAGGTACAGGGCACATGGGGATGGGTAAGGGTGTGGGGGGGCCAGAAGGAGTGTGTGCAGGTGGGTGGAGGTGGGGGGGCGGTGAGGGGTGCAGAGATGATAGAGACATTACAGGAGGTGTGGGCAGTGAGGGCAGACAGGCATGGGCAAGTGGGAGAATGGAAGAGGTAGTGTGAGGCTGGTGTGGGGACAGATGGGGACACGGGAAATGAAGGCAGGGATGGACGGGGCATGGGGTATTAACAACACAGGGGCTGGGAGCTGTGAGGGGGTGTGTGGGCAGGCAGCTGGGACATGGGAAGGTAGAGGGGAAGTCGGGGGTCGGGGAGGGGTCAGGGTCACATGGCACAGTGGGGCAGCGAGTGTGTGGGGGCAGAACTCAGAGGCATATGTGGAGTGGACAGGGCAGTGTGGTGACCAGTGCAGGCATGCGGGGACAGATTGGAATGTGTAGTGGGGAAGACAAGGGGCTGAATGGAGGTGAACGGGGTGCTGAAGCGCGTGGGAAGAT